GCGGGCAGAGCGCGGAGCCGGGAACGGAGGGTTCTGGCTGGGATCGCCCTCACGCTCCTTTGTCTCCAGACCAGGGAGCGAAAAGGTGGCGAAAGCCAGTTGGAGCCCTCGCGCTAGAGTAGGTCTAAAGAAGTTTGGGAACGTAAACCCTAGCAAATAGAGAAGCTCGGCAGGCTCTAGCCTGGGGAGATTCCTAACAGCTGAAACGGGAGCCGCCAAGTGTCCCACTGGAGGGGCCTCGGGTGGCGGCGGGGCAGCCAGAGTTTAACGGTGCGGTCGCGGACACTCGGTCCTCCGGGCGCCCTGCCCCTGGTTCGCGCCCCGACGGCTGGTCCGCGGGTCTGCCGGGCGCGCAAAGCCCGCTCCCTGCGTCTGGAGCCTACCTGCTCTTCGGGCACTGCTCGGGGACCCGCTCGGCGCCGCCGACAGCCGGGCGTCACGATGGTCCTGGGGCCCGGCCCAGCCTGGGGGCTCGCGGCCGCCCGCCCAGCGCTGGCTACTCGCGCGCAGGCCCGACGCGCACGGATGCGACGCGCACCGGAGGCCCAGACCCGCGCCGGAGGCCCAGACCCCGCGCCGGAGGCCCAGACCCGCGCCGGAGGCCCAGACCCCGCGCACCGGAGGCCCCAGACCCCGCGCCGTAGGCCCAGACCCCGCGCACCGGAGGCCCAGACTCCGCGCCGGAGGCCCAGACCCGCGCGCCAGGGGCTCAGACTCCGCGCGCCGGTAGCCCAGACCCCGCGCCAGGGGCTCAGACCCGCGCGCCATTGGGCTCAGACTCCGCGCTCGTGGGAGGCTCAGGCCCCGCGCCGTCAGAGGCTCGAGGGCGAGCGCGTGCCCCCACTGCCCCCTCCCCCGAGCGTTCAATTTGTGTTTATTCCCGCACCTTGATTTTTATTTAATCCCCCCCAACCCCTTGATGGTGAGAAGTTCCTGCCCTCGTGCCACTCGAGGCAGGGCGGGTCTCACAGGGGCGGCTCGCGCTCGGCACGTCTGGGAACCCCCAGGCGCTGGACGGAAAACGTGGTGTGTGGAGCTGTCATCCACAGTCACGATCCGGCCCCGGAGGAGGGACCCGCCTTCCCGCGTGCTGGGGCCACTGTGGTCCCATCTTCGGGGGGAAAAGGTCGGCCCTCCCCGCGCAGCATCGCCTCCTCTAGGGAACCCAAGCGCTCGCGCCCCCGCGGCCGCCTCCCCGCAGGACTCCAGGGGGGCGCCCGGGCCAGTGCGCGGACAATGACCCCTTCTCCCCTGGCCGCCGCCTCCCCCGACACCGCCCCCCGCGAGCCCCCGGGCAAACCTATTAGCCATTCAGTCGGACAAAACCCCGCGGCCCGCGCATTGTCCCGCGGAGCGCCCGGCCGCCGTCATTAGCCCTGATTACGCTGAGCCGCCTGACAGCCCCGCGGGCCGCCGGGCAGACCCCCGCTCACCCCGCCCGGCAGCCTCACAAAGGCAGCGGAAATCGCCGCGCACCCCGCGTCCCGGCTGAATAGAGCGAAAAGCTGCTGCTCCTCTCCGCCCGCCCCATTCACGTTGCCTTTTGATACAATATTTTTTTCTTTTTTGTTAAAATCAGGGAGAGAGACCGAGGTCAAGGAAGATTTTGCTTGAGCTCTTTGCCTGGCATTTGTTTAATGTAAACAAAGAGCAAGTCCTCCCGCACCCCGGCCTCTCTTCCCCTCCCTCCCAGATTTTTATAAACAAACTGGGGACGGGAGAGGCGGCGGCTGGGGAGCGAGCGCGGCTGGTGGAGGCGGCAGGAGCCGCGGCCTTTGGAGAGCAGGAGCCAGCGCGCTTTGGGTGGAACTGGCGGGAGGTTGAAATACGTGTAACCGGTAAAGGAGCCTGAGCTGGGGCTGGGGTTTAATCCTCACATTGGTCAAGTCTATTGAAATGTAAGCATGCAGCTTCTTTCCACTTTGCTGGAGTAACTGTTTTTGTTGTTGTTGTTGTTGTTTTGGAAATTGTTACAGGAAAGGAATATCAAGAAAAAAAGGAAACCCATCATATGGAGATTTCTCCAAATTCAGAAAGCATCCACATTGCTTCTTCCTGAAATGAGAACAAACAAACAAAAAAACCCAACGCCTTGCAAGACTAGGATAAAACTGATACGGAAAACAAATTTTTTTTAAGGAAATGAAACGTTTACAATACCTATCCACGGGAAGATTTGGACCAACTTCCAACATGTGATCATGAAAGACTTGATTATTCACAAAAGCAGTTAGGTGCCACCGGGTTTCACATAAACATTTCTTTAAAGTCTCTTAAATAATAGGCCACATATTAGATAAATCTCCAGATTGGTGAAACAGAATAGCTACTTTTAATGTAGTCCTTAGGCAGCATGTTACTCAAAGCAAATTAGATGCATTTTTTAAAAAGATATACTTTAAAGGCTTTCACCAAAGCAGGAAGAAAAATCTTCCATCACTGTTTGCCCCCCCTTTTTTTTTTCGGAGCAATAGTTATTTAGAAATTATTTGTAAAGAGAAAGCTTAGTTCTTAGCACCACCCCCTTTTCTTGAGAATGCAGAGTGGACATTTCCTTTTGCTTTTAGGCCTCATTTGAACTGGTGAGTGGGATGGGATTTTAGAATCTCAAATTCCTTTACATAAGTCCACTAATTAGTCCGTTCCCTTCCCTGTTGGATCTGGAAGCATCAGCTTAAGAGATAAAATTTGCCAACTGTCTTCTTCAAATGCTGGTTCTGGGCAGCTCCATAATTAGGATGGGGTGAGGCTGGGGAACAAGGCTGGAAATCCCTTGATTTTGCATTGAAGTGCAGTACTCTGGCAGATTTAGGACCAGAGTGAGGCAAGGGAGGCACCTAGAGTGCAAAATTTAAGGAGGCACTCAATCCCAGATGCCTCGCACTTGCTGCACTTGCCTGACCTTTAGACTGAATGCCTCCTTAAATTTCAGGTGCCTTCTTTGCCTCCTCTGGAGAACTGGCCCAGCTTCTTGGCATTCTAGGAACTACCGGGGACTCTGGGAAATATAACAAAGTCTTGAGGAAGCTCTACCACCCAAGCCTTTCAGGACTCACAGTAGGACTTTTGCTTGCTTTTTGGAAGAGCACAGCTTGATCACAAAGACTTCCCTACTCTTCCACCTAGCGCTCTTGTACAAGAGAGTGTTGATTGTCAACAGATCTCTGGATAAGGGCTGCTGTCTACAATGACAACCATTTATAAAGCCCCAATGAGGCCACATCTGTTTCAGCAATTGAGAAGCCAAAAATCAACCTTTATTTGTGCTGTGGGCTTCCCCATATATCTTGCCATTTGACTGCTTTTTGTCTTCCATGATGTCACTTATTTTTGTTCGGTTTGCACATTGGCATATCCATCCAAATAAGTTAGCAGGCTTCTGTTAAGGACAGAAAGGCAAATTGAAAGGAGTCCAATGGGGAGGGGAGCTTGAGGAGGGAAGTTCAGCTCAACTTATTTAAAGATCAATGTCAAACTGTATAATATGCTATCCTTTTCACAAGGAAAAAAGAAAAGCTTAGAGACTCTCTGGATAGCATTTACATTTTTAGTGCAAGAATTACGCGCGCGCGCGTCTGTGTGTGTGTGTGTGTGTGTGTGTGTATGTGTGTGTGTGTGTGTGTGTGTGTGTGTATGTGTGTGTATGTGTGTGTGTGTGTGTGTGTGTGTCTGAGCCTGAATGTGCCTGCACACTTAGGGAGGGCAAATTAAATACTAAGAATATTTATATTTTTAATTGAAGCCACTACAGGACAATGAAGCTCTTGGTGATTTCTTTCATCTTTAATACAGAAGTCAGATTTATCTGCGGCTTTCTATTTCACCTCAATATGTGACATGACTACATTCTCCCCCCATCGCAGTATATTCCTTTTGTTGAAAATAATGCATTTGTTTAATACCTGCTTCTGTGGCAAGAAGATGCTAGTCTAGTTATTACAACCTCTCCTATCTTCTTTTGTCTACGTTTAATGAGTTCAATCCTAAATGTGGTATATGCTCACTCTAACATGATCGTGAGTACCTTCTGCTTTTGTATGGGAGGGGGCCTCAAAGGAGATGGAAAGTCTTTCTCACTGCAGAGACTGTGTCAGATCAATCTTACATTTTTATCAAATAGGATTCACTATTAAGCCCTAGAACTTGGCTTCCTAAATTGTTCTTGAAAGCCACTGACACTTAATAAAAGGGAGTGTCAGGTGGATAAGCCATAGTTACCTGGGCTGAGGATGTAGGGAGTTGCCTTATAGGGGATGATCACATTGCCAATTTCTAGGTTTAAATATATCATACACATGTATGTGCATACATACATACATACATGCAATTTGACTTGGAAGGTGCTTATGGCCTCAGCATAACATATACCAGGAGACATCAGAAAAGGCAAAAGCTACCATTTGCACTAGAGTCCTTGCCTGCCTGATGAAGAGAAGGATATTTTTTATTGTTTAAAGTATTACATGTCCTCCCCCCCCCCGACTAACCCCTCCCCCCAAAAAAGGATTTTTTAAGGAATCTGAGAGTAGCTCCCTTAGTTAGGAAAGGTTGCTCACCAGATTTTTATTGTTTGACTTCCTCATACAGAACCCTGCACCTTTAGAAACAGCAAGTTTCCAAGCTACAGGGACACCTACCATACCAGTCTCTTAAATAAGTAAATAAACAGCATATATATGTTTTGTTTAAAAAACTTTAAAGCAAAAGTTATACATATAGCGTCCTTTCGACATGAAATACCCACGGGAGATTCAGAGATTCAGGGCAGGTGCTCAGTCTGCAGCTCAGGTTCTGGAGGCATCTTGGCAGCACTCTCCTTGGGAAAAAGCAAAGCAAAGAGAACAGAGCGCTGGTCGGGCCTCACCGTGGGCCCCTGCCAGAGTGGCCGGAGGGTGCCAGTGGAGCCGGCTGGCCACTGGGCGGACATGACAGCCCTCTCGCAGGCACCTCATCCAGAGTCCCTGGCCACCTGGCTTCCAACGCACTGGACTTGTTTGGTGGGTCTCTCCTCTTCCCTCCCTCCTTCATGTTGTCTGTGTCTTTTTGTACACTGGATTCTGTTTCTGAGCCTGCTGTGTGGGCAGCTTAGATGTCGCACTCGCTGTCGCTGGACGTGATGGAGATGGCTGAAGTGGCTGCCTTGCTGGACAGGCTGGCGGCTGGGCTGGCTGTGGTCCCCAGCACCTCGGTAGTGCCCTCATCCTCACCTCTTAGCACCCGCCCGGAGCCCTGAGACAGGACTTGCTGCTGGAGTCTACGGGGAAGGAATGGAACACACTTAATATATTCCCCATTGCCCCCTGGTCCATGTCCCTGAAGCCCAGTGGCCAACGGCTCTCCCTCAGAACCCGGGTGTTAAAGCGAGTAAGATGAGGCAACAGGGGTTGGGCAGGAGTCCTCAGCCGCGATAGATGAGCACAGGTGGCAGAGTCTCAGCCGCTCTGCGAGCGTTGCCCCACCCTTCTTCAGAGTCCTTTCCACTCCCAGTCTCCCCAGGCTGTGAATGCTGGGCTCACAGGGTCATTCCCGGTTGTTGGTCACCTTTGAGAGATTTACAATACTATCAGGATAAATGAAGTGTGGGTGACGAGGGCGGAGTAGGCGCTGGGGCAGGGGACCCCCTTCCCAGAGTGTGTCTGTGTCTCCAAGGCCCGGTCGGCCCAAAGCTAAGGGCCAAAAGGGCTGCCTGGGAGTTGCAGGGAGCAGCTGGGCCTGGGGGAAGAGGCAGTGTTTTTGGCCAAAATGCTCAGCTGATTGAGAGCCTTACGCTGGAATAAAAAAGCTATTCTGAGACTGGGCTGCCCACGCATGGGAAGAGAAGAGCTCCACTTCCCACTTCCTAGAAACAGAAGTTCATGGACAACTGTTTTCATAGCACCAGAGCAGGACGCATCTGGGCTTTAAAGAGGCCCGGCCTGCCGCGCTGCTAATAAGCCAGGCTTCGCTCCATAATAAGAGCCTGGGCCAAGGCTGACAAGAATTAGCTTTGGGCCTTGAGGTCCCTCATTGTTTCTGGGATTTTAATTTCTTTCCCCTTCCCAATGCAGCCTGCATTTGGTGACTGGAACCGACTGCTGGATCCACTCCCCAGGCTCCCAGAATGGAGAGGGTGTAGAACCAAGCGCCCGGGAGGAACCCCTGCCCAGAATCCCAGAACGCGGGGCCTCAAAACCGAAGGCAGACCGCGCTCCCAACCCTGCGGAATCCAAGTCGCGGGGACCCAGGCCCGGCGCCCAGGGTGCCGTCGCCCGCCCCCTTCCCGGTGAGTGCAAGGCGGGGAGGCTCCGGGGACTGACCTGTTCTTTGCAGCCGCCGCCCGGTCCCTTTGTCGGCGGTTTTTGAACCAGTTGCCCACCTGCGTGGGGGTCAGTCCGGTGGCCTGGGCGAGCTCACGCTTTTTGCTGGGGTTGGGGTACGGGTCCTGCAGGTACCATTCCCGCAGCAGGTGCCGCGTGCGCTCCTTGAAGCAGTGCGTTTTCTGCTCGCCGTCCCAGATGGTGCGCGGCAGGGGGAACTTCTTGCGCACGCGGTACTTGTCCACCGGCCCCAGGGGCCGTCCACGCAGCTTCTCGGCCTCCTGGTAATGCGCTTCGAGCCACAGCGCCTGCAGCTTGGCGTGCGACTCCTTGGTGAACTTGTGGTTTTCCAGGATGTGGTAGAGCTCGCGGTAGTTGCCGCCGTGAAAAGCCACGATGGCTCGCGCTCGCAGCACCGATTCATTCTTGTTGAGGGCCTCGCAGGCCGCCGGGGCCACGGGCAGCGACCAGAGGAAGCGACCCAGGCGCTCGACGTCGCCGCTCTCCTCCAGCGTCTCGCATACCCCCGCCACTTGCTGGGGGCTGAAATTCAGGATGGGCAGCTGGAACATCGAGGCGGCGCCGGCGGCAGCGGGAGCGCCGAGCCGGGAGCGGGACGCGCGGCAGATGCCCACTGGCCCACCGGGTGCGCCAGGCTCTTCTCGGTGAACCCGCTCGGGGCAGCCGGACTGACCGCTGGGGCGGCGGTGGCGGCGGCGCAGCTGCGGGGAGCCAGCGAGCGGGAGGGATGCGAGGAGGCGCGGGCTCCGCGGCTCAGGTCCAGCTTCGCTCCGTTAGGGCCGGCGGGCGGGCGGGCGGGCTTCTCTACTGGGGTGGGCGGATTGGCAGCGCGGGCGCCATGGAGACCCCCTGTCAGTCACTAGCCGGCTCTGCCAATCAAGACCGCAACCCGGGCGTCCAGGCCATTTCAGCACCTCCCCGCTCTCGACAGCGTCCACTGCCCGCCCGTGGACTTCCCCGCAGTATTTTGCAGAACCCCGAGGAGGAAAAGACTTGCGAGTAGCTGGGCGGAAAAAGAGTCGAGAGCAGCAGCGTTTCAACCCCCGTCTCCCTAGCCTTGTTCTTCTGTCCCCCGCCTTCCATCCCCCCCACCTCTACCCTCCTCCTCCCCCAAGAGGCAGCGAAGCTACAGGAATCCACTTTGGGGCGATGCTTTGCCTGGGTCAAGAGGTCTCCAGAGGACAAAGCGGACTGGCCAAATTGAAATCCTCCAAGGACCCGTCATTTAGCTGTAACCACACAGCAAACAGTGCGGGGAGCGCAGGAACAGGCAGGGAGGGAGAGTGGATCACCTCGTTTCTTCCCAGCACCCATCCCCGCAGGCCTTTCCTCCTTTTCTATCTGCCAAAGCAGCCCAGTGGGGAGCCACTCTGAAGCAGAAGGAACGGACCGGGGATCTGTAGGAGGTCAGTGTGGACTCCATACCCCACCACCACCTTCAAAAGCCTCCTGGAATCATTCAGAGCCAGGTGCTGACCATGAAGTCAAACACTCGGAAGAAAAGGGGCATCGCACCCTCCAAAAGTTTATACTTTTCAGCCTTCTCCCCTCCCCAGTTTAATGAACTTGAATAAATGTGAGGCATAGCCGCATCTAGAGTGAGAAGTCATTGGAAGGTCAGGACAGCAACTTAAAAGCTTATTTCAAAGATGTTCTTTAAAATATTGATTTGCTTTTTCTTGAAGGCTAGTTTTTCCCCTAGTCTGTGTTGCAACATTTAACTCTTAAGCTGGGGATAGAAACTCTAACCTTGGCCTTTTTAGTGCAAAAAGTAACTCAGTAGAAGTAAAATAGGGGGGCGGGGAGTGGCACAACAATGGTTTGCAGGGGTGGGGGGGGAGGGGGGAGGACGGAAAGCGCCTACTGAGCTTTGAGCACTGACTCCGCCCCCCCCACAGAGAAGGCCTTCTTGGACGCTCTGCCTTCAGGCCCGCGGGTGGAATTTGTAACTTTTATTGATTTCCAACTGACGTTTGCATCACACCGTGTTCTGAGGCCTAGGTAAAAAGCAACCCCAGTCTCACCTGGGCCTTTCACGGGGGTTGTTGAGTTTGAAGAAAATGATTGGGAGGGGGCGTCCAAGGAAAACCACCTTTGGAAGGCCCATCTCAAGAAAGGAATCCACGAGGGAGGTTCTCCTGGAACTGGAACTGGACTGGGCCCGGGCTGCCTTTTCTTTAGGATCAAGCACAATCTGTACGCGGCTGGTACAGCTCCGGTCACTCAGAAGGCAGATAGATAGCACAGATGGTTGGAGGTGTCGGGTCAGATCATGCTACGCCTGAGTGCAGGGCAAAGCTCGTTCTGACGGGAAACCCTGATATTATTTTCACAGATCTTCACAGTTCACTCGCAAAAAATAGCAGAGGGGAAGAAAAAGGCCCTGCAACCATTTACATCATTTCCGTGAGATTGCCCGCCGCCTCAACAGAGAGGCTTTCTTTTTCTAAAGAGCTCATTTTCTTGAAATGCGACAGGGCAGGGGCAACATAAAGAGAGAGATGAGGGTAATGGCAAAGCACAGACCTTCTCTAGCTTAGGGTGACTTCCAAATCCGCAGGAAGGACAACTTTAGTGAGAAACATCACACACAAGGGCCCACAACACGCAGTGCAGAACACCAAGCGGGCCTTAGGGCGAAGGGAGACCACGGGAGGGCTGCGTGCGTGGCACTTGTGGCCAAGGATGGAAAGCATTCCCTGCTCCTGTTTACATAAGTTTCTCTGTTCCCTCCTCGGGGTGTCTCCCCTGCCCACGTTCCCAGCAGAATCGCTTCCCACCCGTGCGCAGAAGCCGCCGGGGGGTCTCGGGACCTTACAGGCCCAGAGCCCAGAGCCCAGAGGTGATGCGTTGCGGTGCCCCGGGGGAGCGAGCCTCCTGGACCCCTTTTCTGCGCAGTTTGAAAGCGGCGAATTGCTTCCGACCCCCAGTCTTTGTGAGCAAGTCGTGTTAACGTTCCAGTCCAGGTGCCATAACCAGGAAATGGGAACACGTATCCCACCTCTCGGTCAATAGTTATGCAAATAGTCAATTAGAGGACGCTTTGGCTTCTGCGTGTCCGGGGCTCTCGGACGACTGGGAGCCAAAGCGAGGACCGGCTGCGCTGGAGCCACCGGAGAAGGGCGCAGGCTTCCGCGGGCGGCAGAGTCCGCGTCCCAGCACGTCCCACCGGACGCGGTGTCTGGGCGCGGGGCGGATGGGGTCTGAGAAGTGTCTGGAGGCTTCAGGAAATTCTACCTTCACCATCGCGGGGGGACTTGGTTTAATTTTGTTAACTCAAAGGAAATAAACTGCACACCCCCCCCCCCCGCGCACATTAGGGGGAAAAGGACAAACAGAAGAAATATGTTGGGCTCCCCATCCCCGGAAATGAGACAAAGCTCCGGTGGGTTCCTTAGAAATAATCTTACTGTGGAGAAGGCAGTGACCAGCACCCACCTCTAAAATGCACTTCTCTCGGGTTTCCAGGCAAAAGCTGGACCTTCGGGTTGGCTTCTGTTAGTTTCACAGCAGGCTAGATTTCTACCAATTTTGGAACTTTGCGCCCGACTCGCCACCCCCGCCCCTACTCCAGTTTTCTTTTGCGATTGACCAGGAAATCTAGAAAGCGCAGCGGCAGCCCCTGGGCTCGGGCCTGTTTGTGCAGCTCTGCAACTTTCTGCTGTTGTTTGCAGCTCCTTGGTTTGGGAGTCTTGGTCGAATATTCGATTCTCACTGGGAACCCATAGACGTCTATTCTGCTTTCTGCAGATTCAGTTTTACTTTATGGGGAAAATATGGAGAGAGAAAAAAAACACACAAAAAACAACCCTGTAGAAGGCATTGCCCCCGGGGCAGATTCTATGTCTGTCTAACTGTTAAGTATGGAGGCAGCAGGGCCAAAGGCCTCCAGGTTCCTACTAGCGATCTTCAGAGTTCAGCCTGGGACTGACTCCTCGCACACCTCATTTTGCCCCTTCTGATTTTCCCCTCAGGAGCAGAGGGACCCGTGCAGTCCTGGTTATACTCTGCCGAACAATTCGCCAAGGGAGAGCACTGCTTAGAGGTCAATACACTCTCTCCAATCTCTTGTCTTGTTTGCTCTTGTTTCTTGTCTTATCTTTTATTGGACTCTTCCTAAATCAAACGCCTGTGATATAAATGATGTCTTTGTTTTATTTCCTACACAATTTTGTAGTCAGGGATTTTTAGAATGTAGCCATTGAAGATATCTGAATTCCTCGATGAAGTACATCTATCTGTGCTGTATGTGCGAGTCAGACTGGAAGGACAGTGAGAGCCCAGCCTTTTGTGTATGTCCATTTTTATTTTGGGGGGAGAAATCTTGAGTCCCCCCCCCCCTTCAAAGCCATATGTTGCCAGTGGGTGAGAATAATGTAAATAAAAAGTCTAGAAAATTAGTCTTTAGAATTATAGTATTAAAATTTCACACTCTCAAGTATTTACTAATGAATTTAGGATTCTGATTTCAGAAGATATCATATGCATAAATATAGGTATATTTGTGTATGTATTTGATGGTCTCGAGCTTCAGATTATGGAATTAATCCAATATCCTAGTTTTAAAGTACTAACTAGCCTAATAAGCTCCCAAGGTAGACTGCTCTGTTTCATGCATTCGTCCCCTGCCAGTATGCACCTTGTCATGAAGAAGAGAGATGCCTCTTTATTGTGTACTTCTGAGAACAAACACCACTGGGAAATGTTTTGTAATTGGCACTGTAAAATTAACTGACAAAAAGGTATTAAAATTAAAATATTGATCTAATTTTAAAAGATTAGGATATTTTTGTTGTTATTTGCAAAACCATTCACCAGCTATTTTTAAAATGATGCAAAATTGCTTATGTTAAGCCGAGGGAAATTTTCATAAGTTTAAATGTGGGAAAATGTACCATTTGAAAGTAACAATTAATTAGCACTAATGTGTTTTTTAAAATGTTAGGCTGACTTTGCAGCTCTGTTTTGACCTCTTGTTCCTAGACATTTGATGAGAACTTGTATTTAAGCCAAAGAGTGTATTGCAAGTCATACTCCTTGTTTAAACTATAGTTTTGAATTCACTTTTCTCTCCCCCGCTTCTGTGGGGTAAGCCTAAATTTTCACAGAGCTTGTTTAGGGATATATATCAATCAGTGGGTTCTTGTGTGAGGGATTAATATTTAAAAATGTAACCAGTGTGTCACTTATAAGCACTTTATTATTAGTAATGAAACATTAGTTGGATGACTGAAAGAATGATTAATTCATAGTTTTCTGCTTGAACTTTATTGTTTCCACCAGCAGGTTATTTTTGACCATTTTCAAATCCAAGATCAAAGTATCTTTCTAAAATACACATAGAAACTTTAAACTTCAATGAAGTGAAAAATATAAGTTTATTTATGTCCTCTGGATGAGCCAAACATTATCACATTAAGTTGTATGCATATCATATATAAGTATTAATTATGTGTTATATGTGTAGTAAGTAATAATTCCCTTCCAAGTACTGTAAAATCAAATAGAGGCATTAGCCTCCAATAAATACCCTCCGTTCTCTGAGTTGATCCATATGGTTAGCATAAACTACTTTAAAAATTGCATTACAAAAAAATAAATTTACATGGCATCTTACTTTTCAAAGC